GAAGTATTTGACTACCATATCTTCGACTTACCTCGTACTCGTCCTCATAGCCCTGTTCATCATCTGGCTCACCCGTCTGTGGATCACAGTCCAGTACGTTGAACTTGAGCGTATTCGTGAAAGTACCAGCCACTACTGTGGGATCTTCAGGCAGATTCATGGCCACATATGCAATCTATATGGAGAAGGGAACAACCATTCAAAGATTGGAAACATATAATTGAGACTTCGTTCCTGGATTTGGCCACAAACACATATACACAGAGATACAAATAGCCATGTATGGACCAATTACGCTCATCCATCACATGCCTGTCCACAACAGAAGCAATCATGCATACAGACATATCCACTTATGTACGCGTGCGGGCACACTGCCGAATACACACTATGTCCCACACCTATCCACATAGACACTAGCACATATACCTGTGACATAGACACTAGCACACACATAGACACTACACACACATGTGACATAGACACTACACATACATGTGACATAGACACTAGCACACATATAGACACTACACACACATGTGACATTAACACTAGACACACATGTGACATAGACACTACACACACATGTGACATAGACACTACACACACATGTGACATAGACACTACACACACATGTGATATAGACACTACACACACATGTGACATAGACACTAGCACACATACCTGTGAGCTATGGCAAAAGAAACGATGCACGAGTATGACAATACTTGCACACCCACTCAACCGCGCCATCGCCCTCAATCATCAGCGAAATTGACGACCACTGACACATCCACAGGCAGGCATGTAAACAAATGTCCATAGGACTCGCTACACACACCCATTCGCAATAATGAACACACCCCTGTAAATGTACAAACAATAACAATGAACTCACCCCTGTACATGTACACGCAGCAACAATAAACTCATCCCTGTATATATACAAACAGCAACAATAAACTCACCCCTGCACATGTACAAACAGTAACAATGAACTCACCCCTGTACATATACACACAGCAACAATAAACACACCCCTGTACATGTACAAACAGAAACAATGAACTCCCCCTGTACATATACACACAGCAACAATAAACACACCCCTGCATATGTACACACAGTTCAGCGTACATACATACCTGCAAGTCGTCGTAGGCCAGCACGGGGATGTCGATACTACAGACCTGCTCAAACTCGCCATCGCCCTCCACCACCACCGACACATTCTCCAGACGCTGGTCATTCAGTGTGTTGCGACAGTTATACTGCAGCACCAGATGGTCGTTGAACAAGTGCTTGACGCACGTCACCACATACTCGGTCTCGCTTTCGGTGAGCGACACCGCCTGGGAGGACTTGAAAACGGGACCGAACGAGGCGAATTCCGGGATCTTGGCCAGCTCCTCGGAGTAGATCTCCTGCTGCGACTTCTTGTTGTCGGTCTTCTTGGCTCGCGTCTCTGCTCCAGGCTGTCAATGGGTGCAAAGGATCCGGTATTTAAAAAATAGGTCGGTTTGATTTTTGGCGGGAAAGGTTGAATAGGGACTACTATCTCAGTAGTTGACAAACAGAGAGGGATACTTGCGTCAGTGGGTTTTCGGTGACAATGGCAGCAAAGAATCAAAGGGTAGGTCAAGATATATAACCCCCGATAAGACGGATAACAAACATACAAAAAACGAGTCGTACTTCAGTATGAGGGATTCGCATGACAACGCGTTGATATACAGATATACCCGTCAACTAAGGTGCAATCCAGTAACACACCAATACGAAACGCCGACAAGGAGACAGCACAAAATGGACACTCAAAATGTTCCCGACACAAAAGCAACACCCCGGGGGTAACACGAATATATGTCATGCAAATAAGACATGCACGATACACCTCTATGTGGTATACGATGATATAGGTATACATATATATATATAATATATATATATATATATATATTATTTATATACAAACATAAATACATAAATACATACATACATGCATACATACATACATACCTGCATACATACATACATACATACATACCTATATATATATATATACCACTTAGCTCCAGTGTCTTACCTTGCCACCAGCCACAGATCCGGCGCGAGAGGCTGCGCTAGGTACATTGGACACAATGGGTACGCGCTTGAGGTCGAAGGCACCTTCGGCAGACGCACCCTGGGCAATATATTCCACCAACTGGCGTTCCAGGCCGGCCAGCGACACTTGTAACTCATCGACAATGAGCTTCTTGGCGTTCTGCTTCTCCTTGGTGAGCATTTTGAGATAGAACGTGGCTCTGTCGCGTACTTCGTCGTCATCGTCGTATTGGCAACGGGACAGGAGGATCACAATAGACTCGGTCAGCTCCTCACAGCTCACCTGTGTGGGAGTGTGGAGGCAAGTTTTGATCAGGGTGTGGGTTAGAGGTGGTGGGGACAGACGTATGGTATACATCGACATGGGTAAAGCGGGAGGATAATGGGCAGGTAGGAGCAGAATTGATTCATTGAGCTTGGCTCGGCTTAGATGTAAAGTCTTGTAAGCAGGTACACAGGGACATATTGGTTAGAGACGAACTAGTGGTGATTGCTATGAGTAGTCCAAAGTGGATCCCCATGGATTCAGTGTGCTTGCCATAGCTTGCCTGCGCATGTATAAGCCGAGCATTGATGGAGAAATGGTATCTTGATGGTTTTGCGAGTGTCCTGAAATAAATCGGGATAGATATTATCGAAAAAATCAACTTTTTTTTTTTGGGATATTCGTGCACATTGTCAGTGCCTCCTACATCATCACACATAGACCAGACATGACCGAGCTCCACCCGCTACAAACTTGGCCAGAGCGTTTGTGTCTGTAACATCTGCAGCCGCGTTCTCAAGCACCCCACGGCTAAAGATGTACCGGGTAAGGCTTGAGGGGTTTGTCAGCATATCCGCATATATGCATATATAACATACATGCATATAGACATATATGCACATGCACACGTAGGTACGTACAAGTGCCACAGACTACCTTCATGTCTAGAAAATAGATACTCCCTATCCATATACCATACACTTGGCTAGAGCGCTCTAGGCGGCAGCCCATACAACAGTGTGCTCCAGAAACACGCGGTCGTAGAAGCAGCGTGATGGAGAAGGTCAATCATACACACATACATATAAACACTGCTAAAGGATATATATAAACACTGTTAAAGGATATATATAAACACTGTCACAGGATATATATATAAACACGGTCAAATAATATAAAAATAAACTGTCAAAGGCATACGATCTGTGTATGCTTCCTAACTGCTTACCCCGAACTTGGCCAAAGCGCTCACTGCAGCAGCCCTAACACTCGCGTTCTCCAGGATCACACGGTTGTAGATGTACCGGATAAATCGTGAGGGATTGGGCATGCTCGGGCCTTGTTCACCCAGGATATGCAGCACGTGCGTCGAGAGACTCTGGAACTCGCAGTCTTCGATGAACTCGCACAGGTAAGACAGACCCGATTCACGTGCCTGTTGAAGTGCCGGGTGAGAGACGGGGGTTTAATCTTACGCACTTGCGATGGGAGGGTAGGGTCTCGGCAACATGTAGGTAAAAGTTGTGGGTAGATGGAGTACTGTAGGTACATACCTGGGTTGTACGCGGGTGGGTTAAATAAAAAATATGTAGATAGACGGGGTGGGTTTATGGAATAGGTATGGGTAGAAACGGGGGTATATGTACCGATTTCGATGTTGCGAGCGGAAGGAACGGCTGGTGACTATATGGTAATAGAACTACCTGTAAATAGCTACCCCCTGGTGGGAAAATATACTTATACGTACATATTGCCACATCCCAAATAAAGTGATGTACGTATAGCTTTTTCTTACGTATACGGGCATACACCACTGACGGGTGAACACGCGGCAAGGTCGCAGCCGCTGGTGACTTCGGACATGTACGACCTCCGCGATTCGAGTATGTGTCAAATCAGGCCAGTGAACAGCACACCTAGTGCACCAACTAGCAAAGTACTTCGTAACTATATACACCACGCATAATGGACAAGTTTCGAGCCATTCTCTGGGGGCAGACCATCCAGGCGTATTGCATGATATACGGAAGCCCCCAGAAGTGCCTGTGTGCAACTATGCATGATCGGCAGCTCAGGTATACGAACACTCTTCAGCTGTGACACAGATAGCGGCAAAGGGTCTCGCGTCTGTCAAACTAACTGATAAGCAAATCACATGAACCACACACAGCTGTGCTTCCTCTGCCTATGTGGTGATACGGAGACATACCTGAACTATTCAACGCTACTCACCTCAGGGATCTCTCCAATGATATCCACGAGCGTATCCACAATAGCCTTCTTGTATTCAAAGCCACCTTCGTCACGCAACACACTGGATAGGAAACCCATCATCAACATCTGCTTGGACGGGAACTTGAGACAAAGAGCCCGGATAGCGTCCACCACGACCACCTTGAACTCGTCACTGATTTCACTCATGAACCCAGAGATCTGCTTCATGAGACGGTCCACGGTGTTCTCGGAGCCGGTTTTGAGTAGTGTGGTAATGGCCAGCGTGGCGATGGAGCGATCTGTAGAAAGGAATAGGCGATGAATATTAATCAACATATATATATAAATATATAAATATATAAATATATATATATATATATATAAACATCCAAACAAACAAATATATACATATATATATATATATATATGAATATAATATTTGTATATATAGATGCCTATTTATATATAT